GAAAAAGGCCAGCATGAGCTGGTGTGTTTGTTTGGGTTTATTTATTTATTTATTTACGGGGTAGGGAAGGGAGAGCAGTGTGGGAAGGTTTGGCTGGTTGTATCCTCACTGCTTTTTCATCTTGTAAAAAGTTAACGAAGATACCTGTTATTGCAACAAATCCCACACTGGAAATTAGTATTGTGCTTCTAATGTAGGCAATTGTGGAGGTTTTTTTGTTTGTTGGTTTGGTTTTGAGTCAGCAGCAGACCTGCCAATGCTTAGGCTATAAGGTGAGGCACTGGATTTCCATCCTTAAGCTTTCTATTAATGTCTTCTCATTGCCAGTTTTGGGGGTTTGTTTTGAATCCTCAGTTCTGTGCCATTACAGCATAATACAGGAACCTCTAAATACAGGCAAGCTAGCCCAGTTTTCATTATTTCATTATTTAATTCTCCATAGAATCTGTATCCAGAACACTATCTTTCATTTCCCTGCACTGATAATTCTGGGTACATATAGTAAACTTTATCCACATCTATGTGTTCAGCATTGTATGTTTAATCTGAAATACTATTAATTCAAGTAGAACATGTATTGTGGTTTAACCCAACCAAACAGCTTGTTCACTTACTCCCAGTTTTTTGTCCTGTCTCTGCTTCCTCCCGGCCTCCCCTTCTCCCTGGCAGAGCATGAGACTCACAAAGTCCTTGGCCAAACCAAAACATCATTTTTATCAGCTTTGTTCCCAGCCCGAAAGTCAAAACACAGCACTGCACCAGCTACCAAGAAGGAGAAAAAATGACTGCTGCTGCTAAACCCAGGACATTATCCACCCCTTATTCCATACCATTCACGTCATGCTCAGATCCTACATTTTCAATATACCATCACTCCGATCTCAGTGCACTTCTATCTTAGTGCAAAGACTAGTCCCTATAAAGCTGCTGATTCCATCTGGTCCATGATGTCAGGCGCCATCTCTTGTAACAGTCTTTCAGAACAGGAGAGGCCGCGTGCAGTATTGGGTCGTTGCCTGCTGATGCTGATCATTCCCTTACTGTAGAACTTGTCTGGTTCTGTCAAAGTTCGCTCTCTCTTGGGATGATGGTTGGAGGGAAGTCAGGGCTAGTCGCTGGTGGCCTGAAGACATCTGGTTGATGGGCTATTAAAGTATTACACAGCAGGCAACAACATACAATTAAGTTCATTGGCTGTTTTCCCCTAAAATTAAATCCCCTTGAGGTACACATCGGACTTCCCCATCATCCTGCATTACCCACCAAGTGTATCCAGGTCCCTGAGCAAAAGCAATCCCACGAGTGGGTTTGCCTTTACCTGAAGCAGGAATAACCCAGACTGTCTTCCCCAGCAAATTCTTCATATGCACCACAGGAACTTTGTCCCCCTCTACAATATGTAAAAGTTCCGATTGGGCTGGGCCAGCTCTGTTGGCAGATCCTCTAGTGTTGACCAACCAGGTGGCCTTTGGTAAGTGCGTATCCCAATGCTTGAAAGTTCCCCCACCCATTGCTCTCAGTGTAGTTTTTAACAGCCCATTGTACCTTTCGATTTTCCCAGAGGCTGGTGCATGGTAGGGGATGTGATATACCCACTCAATGCCATGCTCTTTGGCCCAAGTGTCTATAAGGTTATTCCGGAAATGAGTCCCGTTGTCTGACTCAATTCTCTCTGGGGTGCCATGTCGCCACAAAATGTGTTTCTCAAGGCCCAGGATAGTGTTCCGGGCAGTGGCATGGGGCACAGCGTACGTTTCCAGCCATCCGGTGGTTGCTTCCACCATGGTAAGCACATGGCGCTTACCTTGGCGGGTTGGTGGCAGTGTGATATAATCAATCTGCCAGGCCTCCCCATATTTATACTTCAGCCATCGTCCTCCATACCAAAGAGGTTTTAACCGTTTGGCTTGTTTAATGGCAGCACATGTTTCACACTCATGAATAACCTGGGCAATAGTGTCCATTGTTAAGTCCACCCCTCGATCACGGGCCCATCTATATGTTGCATCTCTGCCCTGATGGCCTGAAGTGTCATGGGCCCACCGGGCCAAAAATAATTCACTTTTATGTTGCCAATCTAAGTCCATCTGAGCCACTTCAATCTTAGCAGCTTTATCCACTTGTTGGCTGTTCTGGTGTTCCTCAGTGGCCCGACTCTTGGGTACATGGGCATCTACATGACGTACCTTCACCACCAGGTTTTGCACCCGGGCAGCAATATCTTTCCACAGTGCAGCAGCCCAGATAGGTTTACCTCTGCGTTGCCAGTTGCTCTGCTTCCATTGCTGCAACCACCCCCACAGGGCATTTGCCACCATCCATGAGTCAGTATAGAGATAAAGTACTGGCCACTTTTCTCGTTCAGCAATGTCCAGGGCCAGCTGGATGGCTTTCACCTCAGCAAACTGACTCGATTCACCCTCTCCTTCAGCAGTTTCTGCAACTTGTCGTCGAGGATTCCATACAGCTGCTTTCCATCTCCGATGTTTTCCCACAATACGGCAGGACCCATCAGTAAACAAGGCATACTGCTTTTCACTTTCTGACAGCTGATTATATGGTGGGGCCTCTTCAGCACGCATCACCTCCTCCTCTGGTGACATCCCAAAATCTTTGCCCTCTGGCCAGTCCATGATGACTTCTAGAATGCCTGGACGACTGGGATTTCCTATTCGAGCTCGTTGTGTAATTAGTGCAGCCCATTTACTCCATGTAGCATCAGTTGCATGATGCGTAGAGGAGACCCTGCCTTTGAACATCCAGCCTAGCACGGGCAACCAGGGAGCCAGGAGGAGCTGTGCTTCGGTGCCAATCACTTCCGAAGCAGCTCGAACCCCTTCATAGGCTGCCAGTATCTCTTTCTCAGTTGGGGTATAGCTTGCCTCAGATCCTTTGTATCCCCGACTCCAAAAACCAAGGGGTCGACCTCGAGTCTCTCCTGGAGCTTTCTGCCAGAGGCTCCAGGTAGGGCCATTCTCCCCAGCTGCGGTGTACAATACGTTTTTTACATCTGGCCCAGTCCGAACTGGTCCAAGGGCCACTGCATGAACTATCTCGCGTTTAATTTGCTCAAAGGCTTGTTGTTGCTCAGGTCCCCATTTAAAATCATTCTTCTTACGGGTCACGTAATAGAGAGGGCTTACAATCAAACTGTAATTTGGGATGTGCAGTCTCCAGAACCCCACTGCACCCAAGAAAGCTTGTGTTTCTTTCTTATTAGTTGGTGGAGACATTGCTGTTATCTTGTTGATTACATCTGTGGGGATCTGTCTACGTCCATCTTGCCATTTTATTCCCAGAAATTGAATCTCCTGTGCAGGTCCCTTGACCTTACTTCGGTTTATGGCAAAACCGGCTTTCAGCAGGATTTGGATTATTTTCCTCCCTTTCTCAAAGACTTCTTCTGCTGTATCGCCCCACACTATAATGTCATCAATGTATTGCAGGTGTTCTGGCGCTTGCCCCTGTTCCAGTGCAGTCTGAATCAGTCCATGGCAAATGGTAGGGCTATGTTTCCAGCCCTGGGGCAGTCGGTTCCAAGTGAACTGGACACCCCTCCAAGTAAAAGCAAACTGTGGCCTGCACTCTGTTGCCAAAGGAATTGAGAAAAACGCATTGGCAATATCAATCGTGGCATACCACTTGGCTGCCTTTGACTCCAGTTCATACTGAAGTTCTAGCATGTCTGGTACGGCAGCACTCAAGGGTGGTGTGACTTCATTCAGGCCATGATAGTCTATTGTTAGTCTCCACTCTCCATTAGACTTTCGCACTGGCCATATGGGGCTATTAAAGGGCGAGCGGGTCCTGCTGATCACTCCCTGACTCTCCAGTCTACGGATCAGCTGATGGATAGGAATCAGGGAGTCTCGGTTGGTGCGATATTGCCGCCGGTGCACTGTTGTGGTTGCAATTGGCACTTGTTGTTCTTCGACTTTCAGCAGCCCCACAACAGAAGGATCCTCTGAGAGACCAGGCAAGGTGGACAGCTGCTCAACTTCTTCAGTCTCCAAAGCAGCAATACCAAAAGCCCATCGGTACCCTTTTGGGTCTTTGAAATACCCTCTCTTGAGGTAGTCTATGCCAAGGATGCATGGAGCCTCTGGGCCAGTCACAATACGGTGCTTTTGCCATTCTCTCCCAGTCAGGCTGATTTCAGCCTCCAGTACAGTCAACTCTTGGGATCCTCCTGTCACTCCAGAAATATAGATGGGTTCCACCCCTTGACAGCTCGATGGCATCAGGGTACACTGTGCACCGGTATCTACTAGAGCCTTATACTTCTGCGGGGCTGATGTGCCAGGCCATCTGATCCACACAGTCCAGTAAATCCGATTGTCCCCTACCTCCACCTGGCTGGAGGCAGGGCCCCTCTAATAGTCATCACAGGATTGGACGCTTAAGTCATGTTGAAAGGGATTCTTCTTCTTTATCACAGGAGCTGGAGTAAGATCAGCTCTTCCACTCCACCTGGGAAACTGCTCACCAGAGACTGAAGCCGTAGCTCTCATGGGACGCTCAGTCTTGGCCTTTGCTCCTCTTTTCAATTCACTCACCCGTTCCTCCAAAACTGAAGTAGGTTTTCCATCCCACTTTGTCATGTCTTCTCCGTGATCCCGCAGGTAAAACCATAGGGTAGACCGTGGCGTATACCTCTTGTATCTCCTTTCTCGAACAGTGGGACGCCTTTTGCTAATAGCTGAAATGTGTGTTGGTACACGCGAGGAGTTGGATAAGTCAGATATATCGTCCCTCAGGATCTCAAACAATTTGAAGGCGGTGCGAGGCCGCCCCCCCCGCGCCGCGCGGGGGGGAGAAGGGGCCGCGGGGCTATGCCGCGACGAGTAGGAGGGCCGCTGCGGTGCGCCTCGAAGCCTGGGGCGCGGGCCCGGGTGGAGCCGCCGCAGGTGCAGATCTTGGTGGTAGTAGCAAATATTCAAACGAGAGCTTTGAAGGCCGAAGGCGGTGCGAGGCCGCCCCCCCCGCGCCGCGACGTGCGGGGGGGAGAAGGGGCGCACGGGGCTGTGGCGGATCATGGAGCTGAAATGGCTGCTGTATGTGACCCTGCTAGCTCTTGGGACTCTTGCTGTCCAGGCACATGATACAGATGATGACAATGATGGTGATGATGTAGTTGATATTGAGGATGACTTGGACGATGGCATTGAGGAGGCAGAAGAGTCAAAGCCTGAAATGAGTACTCCTCCTCCAACTCCAAAGGTTACCTACAGGCCCCCAGTCCCAACTGGCGAGGTGTATTTTGCAGAATCCTTTGATAAAGGAACTCTGGATGGATGGATCCTTTCCAGAGCCAAAAAGGATGATACAGATGATGAGATTGCCAAATATGATGGTAAATGGGAAGTCCAAGACATGAAGGACACTAAGCTTCCAGGAGACAAAGGGCTTGTGTTGGTAACCCGAGCCAAGCACCATGCAATTTCATCCAAACTTGCAAAGCCTTTTGTATTTGATACCAAACCCCTTATTATACAGTATGAAGTAAACTTCCAAAATGGAATAGAGTGTGGTGGGGCCTATGTGAAATTGCTTTCAAAAACCCCGGAATTGAACCTGGACCAGTTCCATGACAAAACTCCATATACAATCATGTTTGGCCCTGTCAAATGTGGAGAGGACTATAAATTGCACTTCATCTTCCGGCACAAAAACCCAAAGACTGGCAGATACGAGGAGAAGCACGCAAAGCGTCCAGATGCGGACCTGAAGAGTTACTTTACTGATAAGAAGACCCATCTTTACACTCTAGTCTTGAATCCTGATAACAGTTTTGAAATCCTGGTTGATCAAACGGTTGTTAACAGTGGGAATTTGCTAAATGATATGTCCCCTCCTGTGAATCCACCCCGAGAGATCGAGGACCCGAATGACCAGAAGCCTGAGGACTGGGATGAGAGACCAAAAATCCCAGACCCAGATGCTGTTAAACCAGATGACTGGGATGAGGATGCTCCTGTAAAGATAGCAGATGAAAATGCTGTGAAGCCAGAGGGCTGGCTGGATGATGAGCCAGAATATGTAGCGGACCCTGATGCCGAGAAGCCTGAAGATTGGGATGAGGACATGGATGGTGAATGGGAGGCACCTCAGATTGCAAATCCTAAATGTGAGGCAGCACCTGGCTGTGGTACCTGGCAGCGACCAATGACTGACAATCCAAACTACAAAGGCAAATGGAAGCCTCCTATGATTGATAATGTGAACTATCAGGGCATTTGGAAACCTAGGAAGATCCCAAACCCAGATTTCTTTGAAGACTTGGAACCTTTCAAGATGACTCCCTTCAGTGCTGTGGGACTTGAGCTGTGGTCAATGACTTCTGACATCTTTTTTGACAACTTTATTATCTGCACTGAAAGAGCTGTAGCTGATGATTGGGCCAATGATGGATGGGGACTGAAAAAGGCAGCAGATGGTGCTGCAGAGCCTGGTGTTGTGGGCCAGATGATGGCAGCTGCTGAAGAGCGTCCCTGGCTTTGGGTGGTCTACATCCTCACTGTGGCTTTGCCAGTGTTCCTTGTTGTCCTTTTCTGCTGCTCTGGGAAGAAACAGCCAAGTGCTGCAGAATACAAAAAGAACTGTCGTGGTTTAACCCAACCAAACAGCTTGTTCACTTACTCCCAGTTTTTTGTCCTGTCTCTGCTTCCTCCCGGCCTCCCCTTCTCCCTGGCAGAGCATGAGACTCACAAAGTCCTTGGCCAAACCAAAACATCATTTTTATCAGCTTTGTTCCCAGCCCAAAAGTCAAAACACAGCACTGCACCAGCTACCAAGAAGGAGAAAAAATGACTGCTGCTGCTAAACCCAGGACAACACATTTAATGAAATTAATACTTAATTGTTTTTAATTTGCCCTGCAGTTATTACATAGTTTTTAAAAACTTGTATGTAGATAACTTTCAGACTTACCTATTTTGGATTTCTTTCTGCAGTATGCTATCTCAACTCTTACACTGTTAATCTTCTTTTATAAGACTATGTAAGACCAGAAAGTTTAAATGGATTGACTACATATAGAGTACTTTGGTAGAGAACAACTGTGTCAGAGTACATCACCTTTCTCAACATTACTTAACATCTAGACTATTTTTATATCCCCACCTCCAGCTGTGATCTCCAAATGATACATCCTGATCATCTAGAGTGAGCTATGGTTATTAATGACGTATTATTATCTGCAGTAATACATTATTTTCATGCTTCTCTGTTGTCCACTGAAGATAACAATCTTCATAGTTCCACTGCTCCCTACCACTAATTAAACAGTATTTTGAAATTTCCAATACAAAGCTTCCTACCTTCTTCAGCTGCAATTTTCTGTTCCCTGTAAGGTTTAAGTTATTGACACAGAGGCACTTCTAATAGATACAGGACATTGTCATTTACAGGCAGCTTAAATGCCCACAAAAATATTTCACAAAGGAGTCAAAACTAACACAAAATAAACTTTAATGATTCAATCTGCTGGAGAGCTCTGAAAAATAATCTTTAATATAGCTCTTGTAAGTACTTTTTCTTTTCCTGTTACACAGAGTTATTTGCCATAAGAACATCATGTTCTGTAGTTTATTCTTCTTTGGAGACAATCCAAATGCGAAAGAACGTCAGGACCAGAGTGAGTGTTCTACCAAGAGCCTATATTAGTTTTCTCCTTGGTATGAAATATTTGGCTTAAAAAGTATCAGTTTTTAGTTAAGGTAGCAGAATCTGAAGGTCAGAAGTATGGAATAAATGTTGCAGCAATATTTTATAAAGATTAAAGGTAGACAACCCTGATAATAGCGGGAATACCAGACTGGTGCTGGTATTAAACAAAATAATGGAACAACTCAGACTTGATTAAATAAGCAACTCAACAGTGGCAACATAAGCAAGCTTATAATTTTGAGCTCATAGAAGCCTGCTGGCTTTATGACACTAATTTTACCGTCTAAATTGACAGTGTAGGTGTAGTGCACATACAACCATTCCAGGTGTTCAACCTGGTACTGTAAAGCATTTTCTCTCAGACATTAGATTATACAAACTAATGATAGAAAATGTTGAACTGATCAGAAAACACAAGTATCAGTAGAGGTGTATGATTAATGAGGTTTCACAAGTATGTATTTGCAGCCCTTAATGATTTGACATGTTAGTATTTGTGGCCTGGAATAAAACATGAAGTCATCTCTGCATCTGTTTACAAATTATGGAGAAATCAGAGAAACAGTACATGAGAAAAGGGAAGACATTAATAATGGTTAAATGATAATGAATTCTTTGGTTTCATAGTTTCTTGTAGTTATTTTAAGTACACACATGCTGTCTAGAAGATTCAGCCTTAAACTGTACAAAGAAAACCCTTGGCAAAGCTTGCCTGCATAAGATATATTAAGGAAAACGCCAACCAGTACAGAAGCATGTTGTCAAAGTAGAGTGCTTTTGCTGTGTGTTTGTTTTATTGGCATTTAACTTTCCTGGATTCTTTAGTATACTTTTTATCTGATACCATAAAAATAGTATTTTTCCTGATTTCTGCAGAGACACTATGCAGAAATACTGCTTATGCTCCCTGTCAAACAGTAGTATTCTCATTTCAAAGTTTTACTCTTCATTTGAGAAAGCTATGTTTTAAAGGAACCTGACTACTGGATTAAGTAACACAAGACAGACAAGCTCTAGAATGCAGGAAGAAAAACTCTTTTTGGTAAATATAACCAGATGGACATCTCAAAAATAGTCTATTGGTCAGCTTCCTGTCATCTGCTTTCATGAAAACCACTGAACCACCACTCTGTTACATTAAACCTTTAGGAGCATCTTCCCAACTCACACATCCTGCTTAGGAAGTCCCACTCCCCACGGAATTACTTGCACACATGAAATCTAGATTGTGTCATTTGGATATCTTCATCAATCTATTATTGTAGCTAAACAGCATTCAGCACTACAGTCATGGCTGGTACTGAGCCAATAAATACTCTAAGCAATTAAAAAAACAAGTATCACTGAGATAGATCTTCACTTGTGTTTGCTCTCACTTTTCTCTGCTCAGAAAAAATGACCTCCATTTATGAGCACATTTTTTTGTGGTAACCTTGCATTTATCTTTTTCAGATTAAAAATTCCTGTTATAATATTGAGAATGGAAGGAGAGAAAAGCCTTAGGCCAGAGAGAGTAAAATCCATTTCAGAGAGTGGGAAAAGAAAGCTCCTTATCTTTGCCCTGGTGGAACAATGAAGAGGAACTTTATTCCCCCTCCCCTCCTCCCACGCCCCCCCCCCCCAACAGCATATACAATATATGCTTTCAATTCAGTCGAGACCCTAGACACTGTGCCCATTTTTCTCTTTCTCTGTTCACTGGGTGTTCTTTTCGCTTTTGTTGGCAGCACTATAAATGTATGAAGTGAAAAAAATTTCTGGGTCATGTCACAGTCTCCTATTATTTCAGACAGCAGCATCATGTATCTTTCCTTCTAAAATTAGTTAGGTGTCTTTCCCAGGCTCACCTCTCCTCTGGAGGGCTACTTCAAACTCTTGAATGTAGGACTTAGAAACCGCCTTCTCTGTTCTTAGCTGATTTTTTTGTTGTTGTTGTTTTTGCAACAAAATTATCCTTCAGCTTAAAAACCTCCGCTTCTCTTCTGGTCTTTACTTCAGATGAGAGTGCTCTAGGAGAGATGTTCATCCTATCTCCACTCGATTTTATAAGCTAAAAAAAGGTTACCTAAGTACTCAGGGACAGCCCTATCATTTTTTCACCGTGAGCAGTAACTGTGGTGCCATCTTTGTGTTATTTTCTCTATGGCATCTCTTAAATGCACTTTAAAATACATGTTCTTTTTCCACGTGAGGATTTTTCAATAGAAGACAACCCGTTTCTTGAGTTTAAATGCACTCAGGTTGGTTTGGGATTATGGGGAAAGGGGGGGGTGTTGGTTGGGATTTGGTTCTGTTTTTTTTCAGGTGATGTGATAAAACATTTACACATGGATTCTGCTGCAGGCTGCAGTGGTCACTTTAGCAGCACTTTACAATCTTAAGATAAAACAAAACAAAAATCTGCTGGTTAACTAATTAAATTAATGTGTTGCCAAAGTTCCTCAGAAGATGGCTGATGCTGGGGGTGGTAACACATGTGAACTACTCCTCTGGGGTTACCCATGTGTCAGTATTGTCACCTGTGTGATTTTTCCCATCGTAACTTTAGAACAATGCGTAAATATGCGTTTAGCAGAAGGAAATGTCTTTGATTAAGTTTGATATCTTCACTCAATTTGCTACTCAGTTGCGCAAAGTTTTTTTTGTTGTTGTTGTTTTGGGGTTGGGGGGAGAGTTAGTTTTTGGTTGGTTGGCTTTTTTGGTTGGCTGGTTTTGTTTCGGGTTTTTTTTGGCACTTTGTCACTGCATCCCCTTAATGCCACCTGGTTTCTTACAAGCCTTAGTATAAAGACTGAAATGACATTTTTCTACATTTTGAAGTATCATCCAAGGCGGAAGTACTTCAGTAATCACTACACACATTTTTGCTTTTCAGAACTGTTCCTATTTTTTTTCAGGCAAAGTTCATGTATTGTAGGGCAAAATTTCTGAGTTGTGAAATGTTTCCAAGAAATTATGGATCACCATTAGTAGCTAACTGATTTTTTTTCCCACCTTCTGGTGTTACTTGTTTCCTTCTCTGTCTTTCCTTTTGTGCTGTGTATGTTTGCACGTGATGTACACGAAAAAGTCCTAAAATGCTGAGTAATGTAAAACATTAACATCCAGTTATCCAAACACAGGATGCAAGGAGATCCAAGAGTTGAACAATTCTGTTGATAATTCAGGGCACTTTCTCTGCTGTCTCATATAAGCCAGTTAAGTTCTCTGGTACCTGAAAGATGAGGGAAAAGGATTGTTTATGATGTAAGAAAACTAAGACAATGAAGTATTATTGACAACAATTGTCCCATATTATTGCTGCAATGAGAGCGCCTGGATGGAGTAGACGTAGCAAAACCTGGACCCCATCACTGACATTTCCTGAGCCATATACCTTGTCAAGTGTTACAACTCTTGATTTTTAGTTGCTTATCGTTAAAAACATTAGCTATTTGTCTGTATTTTTTTTTTCCATGTTTCATCTCTCTTTAATGAGGAGATTTTGTTTCCTACAGGTTTGGGGAGGGGTTAGTTTGTTTTTTTATTATGGGGATTTTTGGATTTGGGGTTCTTTTGGTTTTGTGGTTTGGTTGTGGGTTTTTTTTTTTTGGGGGGGGTGGTTTTTTTTTTTCAATGTGGATTTTGGCAGGGGCACTTTTTTATTTATTTTTGTTTTGTTTTGGGGGGATTGGGCTTGGTAGGGGGTTCTGAGGTTTTTTTCCCTAGTTTTGGGTTGGGGGTGTGTTTGCTTTTAATGGGATGGGAAGAGTACAGAGAGGGGTAAACAAGCAGAGAGGTTAAAACAGTATGAGCAATATTAAAAGCACATAAATCAAAGATGCAGGTTCAATGAGTAAAAAATTAGGGAATTTAAGAATACCAGTCATCGGTACAGATGGAATGTGCAGTTTAGTGTGCTCACTTGTAGCAAATAGGCAGACCACCTCGTTTTCAAGATGGTCTGCCTATTTGCCCCATAGCAGTACAAGAGAGATACCCAGATATCCAGAGCCCTGAGGTGTTCACTTTAAGAGCTTTCTTTGAAGTGAACAAATCAAAATACACCAGAAGGCTCCAGGTCTTTGAAGCTGTTTTACTAGAACATAAGCTGGTTAGAGGTAGTCTTTTAAAAGAGAAAGTCTTCTGATCTTCTGGACAGGACAGACCAAGTGAGATGACTTTAAAATAAATCTTCACCCTCTGCAGTACCTATTAGAGGTACATTATTTCAAGGAAGCTAAAAGGGCTTTGTACAATTCTCGTTCATCAAACTGTATGCTCTTCAGGCACAGCTGAGTCCTCAATGGCTCAGGAAAGCTAAGAATCCTTACATGTGCCCCGAAAGAGCCTGTGTGCAGAATTACAGAATAGTTTGTGCTGGAAGGGACCTTCAAAGGTCACGTAGTCCAACACCCCTGCAATGAGCAGGGACACCTTCAATCAGATCAGGTTGCCCAGAACCACATCCAGCCTGGCTTTATATATGTCTCCATGTCTCCGTAGATGGTGCATTCACCACCTATCTGAGCAACCTGTTCCAGTGTTTTACCACCCTCATTGTAAAATATTTTTCCTCGTATCTATCCTGTTTTTATTTTAAAACAATCGCCCCTCATCCTGTCACAATAAGGCCTGCTAAAAAGTCTCTCCCCATCTAACAGGCCCTTTTACAAACTGAAAGGTGACAATAAGGTCTCCTCTATTTTAAAAATGGGTGTGATATTTCCATTTTTCCAGTCACCTGGGACCTCACCTGACTGCCATGACTTCACAAGTATCATGGGGAGTGGCTTGGCAACTACAACAGTGAGGAATTATTCAAAGTGCATCACCTCTTTACATCGTACATATTTAATATCAAGTTTTGCAATAGGACTAGCAGTGACTGTCAAGAAGGTAAGAGTTCTCCTGAAGGCATAAAGCATTCATTTGCAGCAACACAAATACCAACCTTCGCAGTGTTTGCATAATGTCTATACTATGTAGGTATTGTGCAAAAGTGGCTGCAGATGAGTTTTTGGGGTTTTTTTTTAAGGAATTCCATCTATTGAGAAGCATTAAATGTCCTTCTGACAAAGGAATTTCTTTCTCAATAGCATGTTAAAGATGTTCTGCGATGTGGGAGATTAAGAGTCATCAGGGAGACAGATCAGCAGTTAAAAAAACTGAATTAGAAGTAGGTGCTGCATTTATTTATACCATGATACACAGTTCAGTGCATGGATTTGTATCTTCTTCACATGACGGGTGCACGTGTTCCAGTAAATACTGAGGTGCTATGATTTTTCTTTCCCTGAAATGACTGCACTTGCACTGTTGAATCATTTCAACAAAGAAACCACCACTGTAGTTGTACATGTATTTTTAGAGCATGATCCCACAGACAGCTGAAAGGTTTCTTTCAAGACTACTTTCCAATATGAAAGAAATACCTTTAAACTAAAAGAAGCAGTTAGATGTGAAACCATTCTGTGTGCATAACCTTCAGTTTTTATTAAAGTCTTTTTTTTTCCTTTTTCTGCGTTTACAAGCTAAACCAGCTGTGAAAGGTGCAAGCATATAGTTTGTATTCAGCAAAGATCTGTCATTTTGTGCTTACTGCAAGGCAAATGGCTCTGCCAGTTGGGGCTACAATTTATCAAGCTGGCAGAGTGACAATTTTCATTGCTCTTGAAAATTTATCATGGATAGTCATATTTGAAAGGTTGACTCTTTTGTTTAAGCAGGCTTTATACAACGAGACTTATCAAAATGGCAATTATTAATGCCATTAACCCATGAGGCAAAGATCAGTTTTGTTCCTGGAACCTTGAGTATGTCTTCTTGACAAACAGATCTGCTGCCGTGGCTTCCAGGGTTCATGGGTTTAAAGAACAGATGCAGTAGAACAAAATGCTGTCTCCCTAAAGAACAACGAAAGTAATTTTCATTCCAGCTGTTTTAGCAGGTAAAGATGGGTAAAAGGGGAGAAAAAAGTAAAATACTAAATATCAACAGTCAAAATTGTTTTTTATGGGTTTTATGTTTTGTTCCAGTTTCCTCTTGTTCTTAAGAGGCTCAGAGACTGACTTGCTTTGAGAGGGCTAGTAACTGCCCTACAACCATAGCTCATCAATATGGCTCACTCTTTCACACTCTATTGTGGACAGTAACTCCTCAGTACCAGCAATGAGTAGATTTAGACACAGTTCTGTGAAGTTAAGTGGCTTCTCGGAGATACTGATCATCCTCAGCTTCTGTGGTCTGAATGGAGGCAGAAAGCATTGTGTATCTGTAGGACATAGAAGACCACAGTAGCACTTCGCTGGTGGCGCAGACTAATACATGCACATGATCTAGTGTCAAAGGCAGAATTTTCTGATATAATTTGTTAAAGTACTGGCTGTCACTATATGTAGCTGCATTTGCATTTCCCTGTATCAGACAGAAAGGCTCTGAGTTAAAGGCAGCTCCTTCCACAGTACAAATAAGGCATGTACATACGCATTTCCACTCCTATTAGAAAAACTTGTAACTCAAGA